TGTTTATTTATGTCATGCATATTATGTAATCGTGTATTTATGTATCGTATGCTTTGTATATATGTTTCATATTATTTTGTAATCTTCGTCTCTGGATGCAATAAAGAGAATGATTAGCTGAAAGGACTTAACGTTACTAAGTTGAACATCCCCGCTAATGTAGGTAACAAGTCCGTGTCTCTGACGTCATACGCACTAACGTTTTATTTTCCAGGTGTAATTTATCAGACATAAACATAAATATATATAATGGATTACGTCTAGCTCTGCCATACATTGTCTTTATCCTATCGTAGTTAGAAACGAATACGTGTATTCACCATCGGGTTGTGCGGTGTAGTCGTTGTCGGTTTTCTTTAACATTACAGAGATTTCAGATCACGAATCGCGCTATCATTATCATGAATCTACAAAAATAAACGTATATGCTAAGAGATACACCATAAAACGTGGGACATAACGTCTTGTTGGTAAAGTCACCTCGTACGTTAGTCAGCAATTACCACAACAAGGAATAAAATATAGGAGATAAGTTAGTCCGAGTTTAGTTTAGTATTGTCAAACGTCCTTTCAACAGTTTTAATCATTTAAGTACAGGTCAGTGTACAATAAATCTATAGAAAGGTCAATATGTACAATAAATCTATAGAAAGGTCAATATGTAAAATAAATCGATAGAAAGGTCAATATGTACAATAAATCGATAGAAAAAGGTCTATAGAAAGGTCAACGTGTACAATAAATCGATAGAAAGGTCAATATGTACAATAAATCGATAGAAAGGTCAATGTGTACAATAAATCTATAGAAAGGTCAATATGTACAATAAATCTATAGAAAGGTCAATGTGTACAATTAATCTATAGAAAGGTCAATATGTACAATAAATCTATAGAAAGGTCAATATGTACAATTAATCTATAGAAAGGTCAATATGTAAAATAAATCGATAGAAAGGTCAATATGTACAATAAATCGATAGAAAGGTCAATATGTACAATTAATCTATAGAAAGGTCAATATGTACAATTAATCTATAGAAAGGTCAATATGTGATAAATCTATAGAAAGGTCAATATGTACAATTAATCTATAGAAAGGTCAAAGTGTACAATAAATCTATAGAAACAATAAATCTATAGAAAGGTCAATATGTACAATAAATCTATAGAAAGGTCAATGTGTAAAATAAATCTATAGAAAGGTCAATATGTATACAATAAATCTATAGAAAGGTCAATGTGTACAATAAATCTATAGAAAGGTCAATGTGTACAATTAATCTATAGAAAGGTCAATATGTATACAATAAATCTGTAGAAAGGTCAATATGTACAATAAATCTATAGAAAGGTCAATGTACAATAGAGTTATTGTAATGTCTATATCCGACCAATTGTAAATAAATGTATGCGTTCACTGTACATTGATATGGTACCTCGGAAGTGCACTAACTGAACCAACAACAGTCGACGTGATGGTGTTTACAGCTCTCTCGCGCGCTAATATTCCAGAGAAATCGAGCCAACAAACTTTCTATGTTCAATGGGTCAAATTGGCACGTACGTGACGTGTGTTGTTCGCACGTTACAAGATAAGATGATGATAAGTGTACTAGTATCTTGTTCAGTGGAAAACGTATAAACATCCGGAAGGAGGTGATTGCACAGAAAAGATATCGAAAGGTGTCCGATGTGGTCAATGGCCACATACTTTACAGTATATCGCCCATCTAATGGCCGAGGATTAGTAAGCGGGGTTGCGTGGCGATACCAATCGTGTTATTTTGCACTCACTTTACGGGACGAGTACGTTCACCCCACACCCCTATAAATTACAGACAGTATACGATCAAGATTTGCTTAACCATTGAATAAAGTCAGAAAAATCTCCAGTTGTTTTTAAAAAGGAATAACGAAGGAGATATCTATTAGTAACTTTGTGACGATGAAATCAAAGTGTTTAGTAGGCATTTGATTATATATGTGATTCTGGGTGTATCCACGTGTGATTTTTGTGACAAAAAAATACGTTATTTGAACATTGATTTAATTATATTGATTATTTCTCACAAACTGTTGACATTCCAGGTTCATTTATAACAATATTTAGGTACCGTTAACAGCTCTAAATATGTACCGACTCCGACAGAGTTGTTGTGTAATCTGTTATATTGATGTTGTGCTAGTTATGTTGGTTCATTGTTGTCAGATTAAGTCTTGTTATAAGCATGTCCGTTAATTTACTTCTAACGTAACTCTTACGAAAAGAGTCTTTGAGGTATGGCATTGTTGTTTCGGGCAGAGAGCAGGCTAATTAACTGCCTTACCTGTTTTTGGCACCAGCTCCTGTCACAAAGGTTATATATGTGTCAATGTAATTAACTGAATAGTGAACGGACGTGGTTTCAGAGACCACTCATCGACTCAGAAATCATCAATAAATTAACATTAGGACAATCAGGGACGTATACCTGGGACAATATACAACTACTTTGGAGTATATATCCTCTACATGTATGACATCGACATACACAGGAAAACTCGTTGTTACATCCCCATCAGAAATATTCTAGAGAACACTATGAGCCTGTTGACAATAAATCCTATTTATACATAATTCTCCCATCCTACATTTGACATATGCTATCGTACATGTGTTAATTGTGTTTTTCAACTGTACGGTCAATGGGTTAGGGATGTATCAGCGAGACCTCCTGGGGAAGAGCCAGCACATCCACGACAAGAGTTATAAAACAGTCTCACACGAGTTATATAAATAAAAAAGACATTACATGTCAATTTATTCACTGCCATGTATTAAAAAAGAAAAGAAAACCGAGATGACGCAAGTATCTGTTGTCATCCTACCAGCACGCGGATTTTTTAATTGCCGAGTCAAAGCAACGTTACGGAAAGCAGTTAATGGTTCGAGTTAGATTGCAAGATTCTGTACAACCGGAGTACGGATTATCGAGATTCAGTTGTGAATTGTTGGGAATGAAATAGTGAGGTAAATAATGACAATATAATAATAAATAAATATGATAAAATCCAGCACACGAATCGTACATCAGTATCCATAGCACACAAGGTGCTGGAGCGTATCGTGTGCGGGTGAAGTTTAGGAGACTGTTAATAAAGCACTACATTGACAATTTTCAACCGTCAGCGACTATCCGACAGCTTGGTAGCGACAAAGAGTTCAGACAGTGTCCGATATGTGTGGTATTCTTCACAGAAGCCATGAACTTGACGGTGACAGCTACGGAGATGTTGAGCAGAGGTCCTTATAAGGCGTCTGGCATATCTATATGTCCATCAATGGTTGGTGCCTTTTCTGCAGTTTCACAAGAATAAATCAACTAATGCATTCAAAGATATTTTATTGCAACATTCAAATGGATTGAGGTAAAAGTCTTGCTAACGATTGGGTCAATTCCCGACAATAACAACAGATAATACTGTAGATAAAGACTGAAAATTCAAACCTGATCTCATTTCATGTTTCTATTAGAAAAAGGGATAGACAGAAGGGAAGGACAAAAAGGGTAGTTTTAGTTGTATTACAAGTGATTTTTTTTTATTAAATCAGAGTGCAAGCTTTCTTTGCATTTATAAAGAAGGGACCCTTCTGGTTACATTGGTTGGGAGAGAAAGGTTTTGGTTGCATAAGTTGGAAGTGAATGTTATAAAAACATTTACTGGGAGGAAATTTGGTTGCAATAGTTAGGAGGGAGAGTTTGGTTGCATTAGTTAGGAGGGAGAATTTGGTTGCATTAATTAGGAGGGAGAGTTTGGTTGCATTAGTTAGGAGGGAGAATTTGGTTACATTAGTTAGGAGGGAGAGTTTGGTTACATTAGTTAGGAGGGAGAATTTGGTTGCAATATTTAGGAGGGAGAGTTTGGTTGCATTAGTTAGGAGGGAGAATTTGGTTACATTAATTAGGAGGGAGAGTTTGGTTGCATTAGTTAGGAGGGAGAGTTTGGTTGCATTAGTTAGGAGGGAGAATTTGGTTGCATTAATTAGGAGGGAGAATTTGGTTGCATTAGTTAGGAGGGAGAGTTTGGTTGCATTAGTTAGGAGGGAGAGTTTGGTTGCATTAGTTAGGAGGGACAGTTTGGTTGCATTAATTAGGAGGGAGAGTTTGGTTGCATTAGTTAAGAGGGAGAGTTTGGTTACATTAGTTAGGAGGGAGAGTTTGGTTGCATTAGTTAGGAGGGAGAATTTGGTTGCATTAATTAGGAGGGAGAATTTGGTTACATTAATTAGGAGGGAGAGTTTGGTTGCATTAGTTAGGAGGGAGAGTTTGGTTACATTAGTTAGGAGGGAGAGTTTGGTTGCATTAGTTAGGAGGGAGAATTTGGTTGCATTAATTAGGAGGGAGAATTTGGTTGCATTAGTTAGGAGGGAGAGTTTGGTTGCATTAGTTAGGAGGGAGAGTTAGGTTGCATTAGTTAGGAGGGAGAGTTAGGTTACATTAGTTAGGAGGGAGAGTTTGGTTGCATTAGTTAGGAGGGAGAGTTTGGTTGCATTAGTTAGGAGGGAGAGTTTGGTTGGGGAGAATTTGGTTGCATTAGTTAGGAGGGAGAGTTTGGTTGCATTAGTTAGGAGGGAGAGTTTGGTTGCATTAGTTAGGAGGGAGAATTTGGTTGCATTAGTTAGGAGGGAGAGTTTGGTTGCATTAGTTAGGAGGGAGAGTTTGGTTGCATTAGTTAGGAGGGAGAGTTTGGTTGCATTAGTTAGGAGGGAGAGTTAGGTTACATTAGTTAGGAGGGAGAGTTTGGTTGCATTAGTTAGGAGGGAGAGTTTGGTTGCATTAGTTAGGAGGGAGAATTTGGTTGCATTAGTTAGGAGGGAGAATTTGGTTGCATTAGTTAGGAGGGAGAGTTTGGTTGCATTAGTTAGGAGGGAGAGTTTGGTTACATTAGTTAGGAGGGAGAGTTTGGTTACATTAGTTAGGAGGGAGAGTTTGGTTACATTAGGGAGAGTTTGGTTGCATTAGTTAGGAGGGAGAGTTAGGTTGCATTAGTTAGGAGGGAGAGTTAGGTTACATTAGTTAGGAGGGAGAGTTTAGTTATATCAGTTCGGAGAAAAAAAAGGGTTTTGCTGTATTAGTTAAGACGGTAGAGTATGGCTGAATGAGTCTCCTTTTTCTTTTAGATTTCAGCACATTATGAGTGTTGTCATTTTGAATATTGACCAGTGTCCAAGAAGACTAATTAAAAGACTCAAATGTACAAAGACAGAATCAGGTTAACTTTGCTTTCTTTGATGGCCTCTATACTAGACTCTCTAGATGGCCAACATCTCATCTCCTGGTATAAAATGAAGTGTGATAAAACAGAACATATCACTCTGTTTAAGGGTTCTCATTTAGAAACACAGTTTTCTTTTGTTGATTCTATCCCGGTCCAATCTAACCATACACATAGTTCTAGTCATGTGGGTATTTGATGTTTTCAGTGTTTCACAGCAAAATTAACCGAGGCAACAAATACCAGGCTTACAAAGAACATCCAACCAAAGAAAATACGGTAAATATATTATTTTAATTTGTACTTTGGTTTATACTGTTGTAAATAGGGAATACAAAGTCTATTAAATAATTTATAGAGAATAACAATCACATTCTTTCTACAATGTACATGTGGTAAGCACAAACAGTCATTGTAAAAAACATTTCACATTATTAGCTTTAGAAAATTAGAATTAGGAAAATAATTAATAATTCAGGTTACATATTGGTCATGCTTCATTTACCCTGGTTTGTACCGATGTAACTCTTTCTAATTTATGACCATACATCAACTAATTAAGTTTACAAATGCCTTTATCTATTTAAAAGAGTAATGAAAATAGTTTACGTTTGAAATTGAATGTAACCTTAGCAACAGTTTCAAGGGTTTTGACTATCTCTCCACCGTTTTTTAGTTTTGGCTTGGTCACTGAGACCACAGCGAAAAAAAAATTTGTTGAGAAATTGTCGAAACCTTTCACACTACTCTGGGAGAATCTAGCCAAAATATACCACTATGTTAGGGAGGTCTCTTCTTTAAACTTGATTGGTTGAGTGTAGAATTTAATAATCCTTATTATAGTTGCCCCCTCAGGGAATCAGATGTTGACATCAGTTACATTTGTAATGAGACAGTACCTGGTAATAGGAAGAGTCATGGAGACGAAAAAACTTGTAACCAATAAACCAAATAGGGACTTGTTCCTAATTCAAACCTTAGCAACAAAGTTAGTTTAGTTGAAACAAAGAATTTGCAATATTTGTACCGGTATAAAAGTCATATATAAACAAAACAATAAATGGTTTTCATTTCATACACAAATGCATGTACCAGTATGTGTTAACAGAACAAATAAAATACTGCATATGTAAAAAAATAACAAGAGGATGTCAGTGTCATTAAGTTCAAACACAACAAAACATGGAAAATATCATAAAATCCAGTTCAAATGTACATCTTGGTGAACATTAAATAGAGGTTCTAGTACATATCTGCTTACCAACACTGGGTGTTTTTATTTAAATACAGACTTGTAAAGATCACTGCAAAAATATTCACCAAAACTCACAGAACCTGCCTGTCGAGTAATCCCCTGAGCTGCAATTAGGTGTTACTCCTTAATCACAGGTTATTGCCACTGTAAATGGCACCTCAATGAAATGTGATCATTAAAGGTGTCAAAATAACATGCACTTTTTATTCAAATATATATTTATATACATATATATCACAAAAATATCATTCAATAGTATATAGCATAGTCAAGGAATATCAATTCTAGCTTTATTGTAAATCTAGTAATGAGATGTTCATAACATGCATAAGTATATAAACCTTTCATATGTATAGTTACAAAATTGTAAAATACATACCCTTAGTAAACATGAAATTGTCTCATCGATAGGCAACAAATTAGGAACAGTAGTTAATTCTTTCTCATCATGTATTCACACACCAACATAATAAATTGTTTCTGTAAAATTGCACTTAATTCTTCATTCTCCTCAGTATTCATTAATCAAAATTAATTAAAAATCTAATACAAAATGAACTTCACACACCAACATAATAAATTGTTTCTGTAAAATTGCACTTAATTCTTCATTCTCCTCAGTATTCATTAATCAAAATTAATTAAAAATCTAATACAAAATGAACATCAGTTAATTAAAAGTTTTCCATAAACTTTAAATATAGGTTTGAGATACAATTTTAAATATTGTCAGGTTTAGTTTACTTTAGTGAAATAGCAATTTACTCTTCATTATCTAAGCATACAAAAATATTTGTTGTTTTCAAGACAAGAAAATGGCTTTGCCTAAATTGGCCACACTGGGAATTAGTAATGTTAATTTAAGATTGCCTGTTATCTTAAATTCTAATTTTGTGACATTTTACTCTGATCGATTTATAGCTAAAGAAAACATGTACACAGGGATTGTCATTGACCTCCACTCATTTCCAGCTAAACACTTTCTTTTCTTTCCAGTAATGGCAATGACACATCCTGTTTGTCATTCTCCTTCATCAATTGTACCTTGACTTCTTCTTCTGGAACCTTCTCAACAGCAAAACGTAGCTGCTTTTCCTCCGTCTTTTTGTCATTGGCTCGCCGACGGAACAGATTGCTGCGACCAGCTTTGGGATGACGGAGAATCCCAAAAGCCTTGCTGAAGTGGCTTGTGGGTTTTGTCGGTTTGATAGGTCCATCAGCTGAGTGAGGCACATTTTTCTCATCTACTTCCGTCAAAGATGCTTGCATATACTTTTTGCGGCGCATACTTCCTGTGGATGAGTTTGGGGAGGGATGGTAGCTGGTATGAAACAGATTCCTCCTAGAATGTCCATACATGTAGTGGAAATCATGGAAAGTCTTGTAATTTGGTGACACAATGTCTATATCTTCTTCCTCATCCTTGTTTATATGATCCGCAAAATGACGAGACACCAACTGTAAAACAGGTTAATTCCTCGGTAATGAAATCTGTTGAAAATATTCCACCAGGTATCTGCACTTCAGAGTCTTATTTTAGGATTTATTCATCAGTAGTGAATTCAGTTCATTGTCAGATCAAACCAGATTTCACAGGACAATACAAGAACAAAAACAAGCAAGAGTAAAGCTTTTCTTAAATTCAATCATATTTTATCTTTAGCACTTGGATGAAGACAAGTTAGATTTAATTCAACCATTAATGAAAGTTACCTCCGCAAGCAAGAGGCAAAAATATGCCTTTGAACTACTGAGAATTTGTTTTCAAGTGCTTTTTTGTGAAAGGGTGACATAAAATATTTTATTACCAGTTGTTTATTACTCTGAAGTAGTTGAACTAAAAACAATTCCAGATTAAAACAGATGAAAATAGACCCAAAGAAGGAAAATGGAATAGTGTTTGAAATGATACACTGATACTTACATCTCCCCTCACACCTCCAGGAATCCTCATCTGTATCTCATGGACAGCTGGGTCATCATCTATCTCCTGTCAAAGAAGAAACAAATTATCGTGACAATGACTCAAATCCCTTTAAGATTATGTTTGTAGAAAACAAGTTTTTCCTAGCTAATTCTTCTACCCACAAATCATTTAGCAATGTGCTGTATTGTTATTGCATGAACATGCATAGTAAAATAAAGATTACTATCTTATTTTTCACTTTGAATAGAAAAGTCAGCACAGTTTTTGAGAGCAGTTTCATTTTTCTAATCAGTCTCAAACCTAAACAGGAACAATGAATGAAGAAAAACCAGTATGTCAATAAATGTCAATGTCAATAAATGGTGATGACAACAGTGAATATCCAAAATGTCTGCCTGTGAAGCTGTTTTACAAAACAGGGTAAGAATTAGCAGGCATAGATTGGGAAAAGAACAAACCTAGGAAGGATTATTCTAGATCTTCTATGTAAATGATGACAACATAGTTTGATTGTCAAAATCCAAAATGGCCTTATTCTTTTCTCCCAAAAGGCTCCAAATAGCAGGCACTGAAGGGGGCATAGGAACCTAACAAATGAAATAGGGCAAAGATGTCTCCAGTCCTTTCTGAGAAATAGTGGTAACAAGCTTCTGTGTTTTTCTGAATTACATTTAAGTTTGAGCAGGGACAACTAGAGACCTATGTGACAGAATTTGAAATATCCTTTTTGTAGATTTCTAGAGATTGCAATGACAAAATTTGCATAAAGATAGACAATGGAGTTGCAGAATGTGGATAAGAGTGAGCTGAACAGTTAGTTTATCACCTAATGAGGGCTGGCTAAAATGTGTGAGATTGATTTACTCATTTTGAAAAGACAAAGATTATCAGTTTTGTGGCAAGACATTATTTTTGAGAGCTACCATTTCTCCTGCTTGAATAAGAATCAGAAAGTGAAATGTAAATCTTGCAATCTTGATATGATTTCCTCACAACAGTAATATGTGATTTTGGCAAAGAGTTTTCAATTTCAATCTGACTTGTCATTGCAAAAAGTTATTTGACAAATTGATATCAAATTGTGGAAACAAACTCTCACATTACTTGGAGTTTACTTATATTGAGTCATTTTACCAAATGTAAGATGTACCAGTAATAACAGGTATAAAGGTGACATTTAAATGTTGCAAATCACTTGGTAACCATTCCATTGTGTTGATTGTCTAGATATACAAAAATCCACTTGTTTTCAGTTAAAAAGATTTATTATTCTGAAAATGAGATATTTATGCAAATATCACCTCGAATTAATAAAACCTTGCATTCACCTGAAAATAGATGAATAATCATTTTATCAAATGATGAAAATCTGTGCCTCTGTTTAGTAAAAAAATGTATCACAGGTTACTTGATTGATATATTTGACTTTGAGATGCCAGGTGAGGTTTGGGCTGTTATTTTCACCTTCCATACACAGATTCTGCTTGTTTCTGGTTTATTATTATTATTATTATGGGATTAACGTCCTCTATTATGGCCTTTAGGCCTTTCAGAGGACGAGAAAAGATAGGAGGGAATAGAAGGGGAGAAAGTATGTAGTGAGAGGAAGGGAAAGGGAAGAAAGGAGAGGGGGGGGGGGGGGGTGGGGTGGGGGGGGGGGTTAGTCGCCTGTACCTAACACCTAACCTAAGCACGGTAACATATAATTTTGTAGGCGACTCTGGTGGACTAATGTGTCCCTAACCGACTTCGCGTCCGAGGGTTTTCTTCTGGTGCTTTACACCATCCCGATCTTCATCCGGCGATGGAGATAAGTGTCGTCCGAGGGAGGAGGGGGGATAGAGAGTATGTAAGGCGGGGTTGATTTAAACGGATCTACTAATATTTTTGTTTTAGGTCCAAAAAATTGTGTGACCTCTGAAACTATGGCGTTTAACTTAATGAGCTAAACGTAAGGGACTTACGACTGCCGTTAGGCGCTGGCCCTGGGGAATTATTTTTTATTTATGTTTCTGGGTAACATCCCAATATATATAGACCGATGAGAAGTGTTTTGACCAATCAGCATGTAAGAAAAGTGACAATCATATACTAGAATCTTGTATAACATACTTACTTGTGTCATTCTCTCTAGCTGAAGTAATTGGATAGGTTGGTCACCATTCTCTTTCTGTAATACAGAAATACCAAATACTGATTAGTCACACCTCTAAAAAACAATGCAACAAAAATACATTCAAAGGACTACTGAGAAATGAAAACCTTCCTGGTGACCAAAGGAAATGAATAACTCACTTTATGTATTTGCGTTATGCTGAATACAATACATGTATGAAGACTTAACATATTGTGTTAATTCAGATACTATTTACATGTTTAGACTATGGTATATCTTGAGGAATGTTATATTTTCATATTTTGCACTTTATACTTTGTAACTTGTAAAAACTCATCATTGAAACCTGGTCTTTCATCATTTGTTACAAAGGAAACAACAAAACCTTGTCATGATGTTACGGAGCATTGATTTTTTTTTCCCCTCTTATGAAAATGTTTGAAAACTTTATATCATATATGAAGACAATCATAACTTACGGAAATGCTCCATTAGCTTTATATAATATCAATATTATATTTATATTGTATATGAATTACTAATTGCAGAGTTTATAAAGTAAAGATGCAAGAAAATATTCATTTCAGTCCTGGTAGACATTATAAAATTGGCAGGACAATCAACCTTAAATATTTACAACTGTTTACCCAAACATGACCTGCCAACCTGATAGTTTGATACCATAACCATTTGTTGTGAGTTTGGTTGATAGAACTAGGCACACTAATAAAACAAAAGCAAAATGAGCATGGGCTCACTTATACCCCCAACCCCATATGTTTTTCTTCTGACTTAGATATATGGTCACGTATGCTATTTAACCTTTAACCTTTACAAATCACCTTCAAAATCTAATCAGATGTAGACTTTGGTGGTTAATGTTATGGTGTAAACAATTAATAAATCTGTCCATAAGGTCATAAGATGTGTTGTATACAAGATTATCACAGACAGACGGACACAAACACAGAGACAAAGTGATAACTATGTACCCCTCTCTCCCTTAAGTAAGAGGGGTATAATTTTACTGACCCTAAAAGAATTTTGTTTCAATATACTGGTAACACAGTCTTACCCTCCATTCATTAAGTAAGTCCCTTGCCTGCTGTGACAAGTTCTTCGACTGGTTTCCCTTCATGGTTACATATGATGCCTTTGCAATCTGTAAGAACAGATGACTGAACTCTCTCAATCATTCAAGATGGAAGAATATGCTTTTATAACAAATGTAGCCCTATACTAATCAATAAGTTAGAATTTCCTGCTACATCGACAATATATGAAACAAAAGCACATAACACAATCATCCTGAAAAATTAAATTCACACACAAATCAATTTATTACTAGAATTCTTAAATCTACCTCAATTTTTTCATACTAGCTATGAAATCACTCAGGAAACATTCATAACCACATGTATTCTAACTCATTAATTAGTCTCACAAAAATCAACCAGATGAAAGAATATTAAAATATTTAAAGGTATCACTGTACCGCTTCAATACAATCCATTCTAATCAGGTGCTGTACTTGATGAGATAACACAGTGAGGTAAATATGAACAAAATCTGTTCAGAAGGTTTGAAGATATGACATTCTTCAGAACAGGCAATGATGTATGTACAGACAGAGTTAGGCAGGAACATAAAAATGAATATTATGAAACCTGTATTCATTAAGGGTTTTACCAGAAACTGATGATTGTATGTCTACATGATGAAAGTACCTTAATGTCCTCTCTCCAGAAATCCTTTGTTTCCTCAGACAGGGCCATTTGTGGTGCCACTTCCTTTATCTGTAAAAATCATGCCTGAATCAGTTAAATCTATTTCAGCTTAAGTACTGGTCTGCTTCTTATGAAATCCACAAACACTCATAAAACTAAAAGAATGGAAAACTTCACAAACATTTGACACTTTCTATCCATATGTTTATGTTGTGTTTCTACCTTGAGCACGAAGATCCCCATGATAATGATACAAATGATGTTAAGGATGGTTAGCAGTAGACTAAAGAGCCCAAGGTAAAGCATCTCCTCAGCCATGTCACAACTGTACACAGGCACATAGGCATTATTGTCAAAGGGAACACAACTCAGTCCAGGTGTCAGGGTTGGGGAAGCTGGCAGTTCCTATAGATGGAAAGTATATCATACAAATTATGTAGCTATTGTTGATGTATAAGTATACTATGTGTTACACACATTCTATTCTATATTACATGTGTATACTCACTGTCACAGTACTATTGGAATCTGTAATGTTGTACACAGTGTAGTTCTGTACTGTAGGAATTGGAGGGGTGGTACTGGTAATCTGAACTCTTGGGGGTGGATCAATTGAGGCTATGATGGCACTAGCCCACAGCATGCCCTGTCAGGATAACAGTATAACTGTTGAAATAACATCCTAAATCATCATTTATCTTGCTATCATCTTGTTGTCAGGACAACAAACATTGTTATTGTTGTCAAGACAACATTGTTCCAATTTTTGCTATTAATGAATTTTAGCTTATAGAAGGATGAAACACAAACCCTTTACAACACAAAGAATAATTATCATCAAATTAATCTATGTTATAATGTAATTTTGGGTGTCAAGAAAATCCAATATTTAATTGTAAAGATCAGAGAGAATGAGGATATTCCTGGATGGTCCTGTTGTATCACACATAAACAAAGCATACCATTATCCATTGAACTGAAATATAGCACCTATATCAATACCCTGTAGCTATAACTGAAAGACCATCAGTCATGAGATTCTTATAAAAAAAATAAAACCAAACTGTTATGGTACTTCTTATTAACTTACAGCATTGACTGCCGGAGGTAGGAGGGAGGCTGATATAGCCACACCCACCAGTGATCCTGTGTTACCCCCAAGAATGGACAGGGCTACGCCCGCCCCAGAAGGCAAAGCAATCAGTATGCCTGTCCATAGACTCCTTGTCAGACCCCTGCCATAAACACAAATAGAACTGGAATGCAGTTAGTTCATAGTACTGTATAGCTAGAAATTTTTCCTCTTAAATGACTGAATAATAATTTCATGACTTTAAATTTTACAATTTAGGTGTAGAGGATATCTAGTACAATGGTGTCTCACTATTTCACCAATTAAATTTTCATGATAACTTTAACATACTGCGAAATAGTGAAATATCATCCTCGCATAAATAACTGACTATATAATATCTTTCAATCAATACAAATGAACTTAAATTGTTTGAATGGATATTGGATATCAATGTGGTGTAATTACTTAATATCATGACAGAACAAAACTTTGACGTGGCAGGAAATCATAGACTAAGACATTGAGTGAGAGTCTTAATTTCAAGCTATTCATTTTCAGCAAAAGTGTCTAGATTGACAAGCACCTATACACTTTTCTACTCTAGTGAAGTTGAAGGGGATACAGCATTGGTGACTAGATTAAAACACAGATAGGCAACACAGGCTAAAAGGTGGAGTAACAGTATAGTGGCAGTATGATCACCCAGGTGGACTACACAGGCTAAAAGGTGGAGTAACAGTATAGTGGCTGTATGATCACCCAGGTGGACTACACAGGCTAAAAGGTGGAGTAACAGTATAGTGGCTGTATGATCACACAGCTGGACTACACGGGCTAAAAGGTGTAGTAACAGTATAGTGGCTTAATGTTCACACAGGTGGACTAGACTGGCTAAAAGGTGGAGTAACAGTATAGTGGCTGTATGATAACACAGGTGGACTAGACTGGCTAAAAGATGGAGTAACAGTATAGTGGCAGTATGATCACACAGCTGGACTACACGGGCTAAAAGGTGAAGTAACAGTATAGTGGCTGTATGATAACACAGGTGGACTAGACTGGCTAAAAGGTGGAGTAACAGTATAGTGGCTGTATGATCACACAGGTGGACTACACAGGCTAAAAGGTGGAGTAACAGTATAGTAGCAGAATGATCACCCAGGTGGACTACATGGGCTAAAAGGTGAAGTAACAGTATAGTGGCTGTATGATAACACAGGTGGACTAGACTGGCTAAAAGGTGGAGTAACAGTATAGTGGCTGTATGATCACACAGGTGGACTACACAGGCTAAAAGGTGGAGTAACAGTATAGTGGCAGTATGATCACCCAGGTGGACTACACGGGCTAAAAGGTGGAGTAACAGTAGAGTGGCTGTATGATCACCCAGGTGGACTAGACTGGCTAAAAGGTGGAGTAACAATACAGTGGCTTTATGTTCAAACAGGCGATCTGGCTGGCTAAAAGGTGGAGTAACAGTATAGTGGCTGTATGATCACACAGCTGGACTACACGGGCTGAAAGGTGTAGTAACAGTATAGTGGCTGTATGATCACACAGCTGGACCAGGTGGTATAGTGGCTTAATGTTCACACAGGTGGACTAGACTGGCTAAAAGGTGGAGTTACAATACAGTGGCTGTATGTTCACACAGCTGGACTACACAGGTTAAAAGGTGGAGTAATGGTATAGTGGCTTTTTGTTCACACAGGTGGACTACAAAGGCAAAAAGGTGGAGTAACAGTATAATGGCTGGATTAAGACACAGATGGGCTACATTGGTGTCTGGATTAGCAACAACTTGTCAATTCTTCACATCACAAATACAATATATACCTAGACTTCATTTCACTAGTAGGCCACTCGTGTGTACTTCCCCAGAATGCTCCATCTTTACATACACCTCCAAATACCAATCCCCAAACAAGTCCTTTAGAAACAACAAGGAATGAGTCAAATACATACAATAAAAAGACCTAGCAGTATATCTATCAATGTCACTGGGCAAGCATCAGATCACATTTACACGAACAACTGATTTTTCTACGATATACAATCGTGTCCTTGATTTGCCATATTGTGAAAATTATCTGGACGGTTTGATTATGCAAGTAGTTGGATTTTTCAATAAAAAGACATGTTCTTTCTGGATGCTGGATGTTAAACTTCCTGTGTGAGACTGTATGTACAGTTACTGAACTCAGGGATCCAACCCTGGCAGTAATTCTTATTTTAGATGGAGAATAAAATTTTTGAACTGTTAACTGTTAAAAAAAAGGTATCTAGTGATAGTTTAATATCATTTCTTTTTTGTTTCACTAAATTCAAACTTTTCAAACACATCAAGAGATCATACATATAGCAGTAACTGCTATATACATATTGCATTAACCACTCTATGTGGTCACTTTTCATATGCAGGTAGCAGGTTGTGAATGACCATTTTAAACAACTGTCACTGCCAGGCAGGTCACTAAATGTTGATTCAGCGTGGTTTCTGTAATGTCTTTCTGTCACATCATACTTGTGCCAGCTGACACAACTTAAGGCTCCAACTCTGTACAACTCTGAGCACACAATGTTGACATTATGCATTGTTGAAGAGGAAAGGGGCATAACGACTACCCCTATTTATTATGTGAAAAACATAACTATGAGATTTACAGATATGCTTCATAAACATCAATGAGATGATTTAGTAAACATTAATCTGCAGCTATAAGTCTCCTTCCACACTTCACTTACGGACATGGTTTCTTGGTCATAATATACAACAAAAATAAAGCCCATAATTTCTTAACAGTTGATTAAGATGTATGTGTTTCAAAAGATAGTCATCTTATTTTCAACACAACTTTACCGATCAGTAGTAATTAACTGACTACAAATTCAAAGTTATTTTCACAAGCATAAGTAATATGATTAGAACAAGTTAGACAGTATCGATTTGATTTTGTTCTGACTGACAGAGATTGACTATAAGTATGTTTAATCAACCTGGAATAAAGTATGATGGAGTTTTACTGTAGGAACACCATATTTTTACATGGGAATGGGTTATATAAACTTGAATGCCTAGGTTTAAGGAGAAAGCACTGAACTAAACACCTGATTTTGTTTCTTTATTGCTTATCTTTGACAATTAATTCTATTCTGATATACCATTGGAAGTACTCATTACCAGTGTACATGCTTACCAAGTGGGTAAAGCTATGACAATATGTCCATATCTCAAACAAACATACCCATGCCGATACAGATCAACAGGCTGAGCACCTCGTTCTTGATACCTAGATTTCGCAGGGTGTTATTCTTTATCACAGTTCCAAATGTTCCAGCCAGAATCGGGCCCTAATAAAGAAATTATTAGTATAAATTATTCTTTTAAGAAAAGGTATGGTGAGAAGTGAGAGGAAAGAAGAAAGTGACACTTCAAATGTAACATTATGTTTCATATACAAATGTATATCATACGCTGATCACTACTGTTATGATATCCAACTTAACTTAATATTAATCAGAGAAATCCACAACCATAGAGGTCATCAAATCTACAGGGATGCCTACCACCATGGAAGTTACCTAAACTACAGGCACGCCTACCACCATGGAAGTTACCTAAACTACAGGGACGCCTACCACCATGGAAGTTACCTAAACCACAGGGACGCCTACCACCAAGGAAGTTACCTAATCTACAGGGACGCCTACCACCATGGAAGTTACCTAAACTACAGGGACGCCTACCACCATGGAAGTTACCTAAACTACAGGGACGCCTACCACCATGGAAGTTACCTAAACTACAGAGATACCTTCTATATTGAGAGAAAAAAATTAACCAACACATACCATAAGAAAGACAATAACACCACAGGGATACAATGAGACTTACCATTATGGGAGACACCAACATGCTGGCTACCAGAACCACTGAGCTGTTTTCCACAAGTCCCATGGCTGAAATTGAGCTACAAAGCAAGACATAAGTACAGTATACTATCTGTATTTTTTTTTAATCATTATGGATTTGACATTTGACATTTCATCTGGGGAGGGAATAAAGTTTACTTTTTTCAAATTATGCTCAAATTTGTACTTTAATTATATACTGTGCCCCATTCCCCATGACATTCACAATTGTTGTAAAGCACCTTTGTTTTATGTACAGTCATCATACACTGATAATTCTAACTTTGAATTATATTTAATGGAAAATGTGCTAAAAGATTGCAATTTTCTTATAAAAACTGTATAAAACTGTACCCCCTCCCCAAGGGGTAATATCAGATCCTGGGTTCATAACATTCACAATTTTAATGTAGCACATGAAAACTCTTCCATCCATAAAGAGTATATCAATCTACCATATCTGGGCATTGAGAAAAATATTTCTGAAATCTGAGTCAAGTTGACCTCTTCTGGTCTCACCCCTCAGGCCCTTGGGGAAGGGGACCATATCATTCTCAATAGGCAGACTTTGTCTCAGTTTACCTTAAACCTGTTGGAGCTTATTTTTGCATTTGGTAATAGAAATCCTCTGTTTCTATTCATATGCATTAAAAATGGAAGCATGTTGTAAGCTAATCTATGCTAGTTTACTGAGCATACCTTGCTAAGAGAATTAACACCAAAAAATCAAATGTGAACTCTGCATTCCCCTGGACTGAGTTCACCACCTAGAACAAACAATTTGGTATATTCAATTATCTCCCTTAGACTACTATGTCGGGATTTCAGTTAATTTGAGATCAAGAAGATTAAGAAGTTATAGTAGTTTTTTTTTAAATGTTTAGGTAAAATCTATTGAATACTTATTCAGAACAGATAAAGACTAGATATCATATGAAATATGGTAGAATTAATTGCAAAAAAATATTTGTTTCATGTTTTATACCATTAAAGAATGAAACAGTGGCAGCTGCCAGAATTACATGATATATACCTACCTCTGTGACAAGCATGCGAGCTTTGATAGATTTTTTAAACTCACTCTGTTTCTGTTCATCAGTATTAGCTCTGAAATATAAATCATAGTTTAGTCAAATGTACAAGTTACAACTACACTTTACTATCTTTTCGTTATAACTTTTAATAAGAACGTCACTTATATAAGAAAGGAAACATTTGATTTTCAATCCTGAACTTTGGTTCTGTGAGATCACAAATAAGTATTGAATTATATCCACAAGCATGAGACTGTCAGGGCAAATATAACTAGTATTACTTCACTTAGTTAACTTACACTGAGTTATAGAGATCTTCTTCATATTCTTCTTCTTCAATAACTCCTCCTGTCCCCTTGTATATGCTGGTTTCAAAAATACTGAAACAGAAACGACTTGGTCAGCATAATGTATAGAATTGTACAATTCTTGAAAAAACACATACACTATACTTCTTTTGTGGTTATAATTTATTACAACTGTTCAAGAAATAGCTGTATGCATGTGAAAACAACAATTTCTTTCCTAATATATTGTTTGGATGTTGGCTTTTGATAGGGCAAAGTTCTGTTGTTTATTGATTCCAGACCCATATAAGGAAGTCAAAAGAACACCTGAATGATTTTGATCAATGATCAGGTGTTGCTGTATGGATGGTTAGGTATATGATCAGGTATAGCTGTGTAGATTGTTAGGTATATGATCAGGTATAGCTGTATGGATGGTTAGGTATATGATCAGGTATAGCTGTAAGGATTGTTAGGTATATGATCAGGTATAACTGTGTAGATTGTTAGGTAAATGATTAGGTATAGCTGTATGGATTGTTAGGTATATGATCAGGTATAGCTGTGTAGATTGTTAGGTATATGATCAGGTATAGCTGTGTAGATTGTTAGGTATATGATCAGGTATAGCTGTGTAGATTGTTAGGTATATGATCAGGTATAGCTGTAAGGATTGTTAGGTATATGATCAGGTATAACTGTGTAGATTGTTAGGTATATGATCAGGTATAGCTGTGTAGATTGTTAGGTATATGATCAGGTATAGCTGTGTAGATTGTTAGGTATATGATCAGGTATAGCTGTGTAGATTGTTAGGTATATGATCAGGTATAGCTGTAAGGATTGTTAGGTATATGATCAGGTATAACTGTGTAGATTGTTAGGTATATGATCAGGTATAGCTGTAAGGATTGTTAGGTATATGATCAGGTATAGCTGTGTAGATTGTTAGGTATATGATCAGGTATAGCTGTGTAGATTGTTAGGTATATGATCAGGTATAGCTGTGTAGATTGTTAGGTATATGATCAGGTATAACTGTGTAGATTGTTAGGTAAATGATTAGGTATAGCTGTATGGATTGTTAGGTATATGATCAGGTATAGCTGTGTAGATTGTTAGGTATATGATCAGGTATAGCTGTGTAGATTGTTAGGTATATGATCAGGTATAGCTGTGTAGATTGTTAGGTATATGATCAGGTATAGCTGTAAGGATTGTTAGGTATATGATCAGGTATAACTGTGTAGATTGTTAGGTATATGATCAGGTATAGCTGTGTAGATTGTTAGGTATATGATCAGGTATAGCTGTGTAGATTGTTAGGTATATGATCAGGTATAGCTGTGTAGATTGTTAGGTATATGATCAGGTATAGCTGTAAGGATTGTTAGGTATATGATCAGGTATAACTGTGTAGATTGTTAGGTATATGATCAGGTATAGCTGTAAGGATTGTTAGGTATATGATCAGGTATAGCTATCTGGATTGTTAGGTATATGATCAGGTATAACTGTGTAGATTGTTAGGTATATGATCAGGTATAGCTGTATGGATGGTTAGGTATATGATCAGGTATAGCTGTATGGATGGTTAGGTATATGATCAGGTATAGCTGTGTGGATTGTTAGGTATATGATCAGGTATAGCTGTATGGATTGTTAGGTAAATGATTAGGTATAGCTGTAAGGATGGTTAGGTATATGATCAGGTATAGCTGTATGGATGGTTAGGTATATGATCAGGTATAGCTGTATGGATGGTTAGGTATATGATCAGGTATAACTGTGTAGATTGTTAGGTATATGATCAGGTATAGCTATCTGGATTGTTAGGTATATGATCAGGTATAGCTATCTGGATTGTTAGGTATATGATCAGGTATAACTGTGTAGATTGTTAGGTATATGATCAGGTGTTGCTGTATGGATTGTTAGGTATATGATCAGGTATAGCTGTGTAGATTGTTAGGTATATGATCAGGTATAGCTGTGTAGATTGTTAGGTATATGATCAGGTATAGCTGTATGGATTGTTAGGTATATGATCAGGTATAGCTGTATGGATGGTTAGGTATATGATCAGGTATAGCTGTGTAGATTGTTAGGTATATGATCAGGTATAGCTGTATGGATTGTTAGGTATATGATCAGGTATAGCTGTATGGATTGTTAGGTATATGATCAGGTATTGCTGTATGGATGGTTAGGTGTATGATCAGATATAGCTGTGTGGATTGTTAGGTATATGATCAGGTATAGCTGTATGGATTGTTAGGTATATGATCAGGTATTGATGTATGGATTGTTAGGTATATGATCAGGTATTGCTGTATGGATTGTTAGGTATATGATCAGGTATAGCTGTATGGATTGTTAGGTATATGATCAGGTATAGCTGTGTGGATTATTAGGTATATGATCAGGTATAGCTGTGTAGATTGTTAGGTATATGATCAGGTATAGCTGTATGGATTGTTAGTTAATTTAGAACCATAAAACTGCAAATGTAGATATGAAAGGATGTCCTTAATCTATGATTCAGTTTTCAGGATCAACTGATCAAGGGAAATTGTGTGAAAAAAAATTTAAATTATTTAATTTAGAACCATAAAACTGCAAATGTAGATATGCTCTAACAGTGGTGTATCATGAAAATGAACGTGTCTTTTTTTAAATGTGACTCAAAAAAGATTCCCTTTATTTGATAACTTTATAGTTTTTTTTCCTTTTTTTTATATTCACCTAACAAGGGATTTGAGACATCTCACCTTATAGAAGACTGGTTATTATCACCAATACCAATTTCTGCCAGCTTGTTTAAAATCTCTTCACAATTCTCTCCTTCTTCCACAAACATAAACTGTAACAGAAATAAATATGTAACATTATTGAGGGCAACTACTGCCACTTGCTAGACCTGTAGTATGTCCTCATAGTATCTCACTATTCTCGACTTTGTGTTATCCAGATATATTTCCAAAACACTCCCAGTTAATTGTTATCTTACAAGTTTATACATCACAGTAACACTAATGATTTGGATTGTTATAAATGGACAGGAACCTCATCATGTAAGCTGTAAATTCAAATCAGCTGGAACAAACAGTGAAAGACAACCATTTTATCATTCATCTATTTCTGTTGTAGATCAAGATACTTCTTAAAACTGTACTGATGATTTGTTTTCTTTTTTTTCCACCCTTAAAATGTGAAATACAGTTCATGTTCTTTCACCAGGAGCTCAAATTGATGAGAGATGATGACCTGTTATGAAAACAACATTTATCTGTGTAACTGAGGTAACGTTTGGTGTCCATGTGTCAAACCCAGGAATACTGATTACTCAGTAGTCTTCCTTTTCAAAAAGGGATAGAGTTAAAACAAAATTTACTTTCGAAGATTTGTATGATTGCTGTAACACAAAATGACGAACTGACCTGATAATATTTAGAACTGGAAGTCTTGTGAACAGACAGGTTCTTCACCGAGTAGCTTTCCAATACAGACATGGTTCTCTGGAAAACAGATCAATCTGAGGCATTAAAACAAACTTGTTTTAAAAGGTATCCAAAAAAAAAAAAAATTACAATGACAACCAGACAATCTGAAGTAGAATTTTATGTTTCATTTTTTCCATGCTTATTTTCAACAGATTAGTGTTAGTTTTTGCCTTGTCCTTTATTTCTTTAAACATTTCTTTACCTATAATATAAGAAATTGGTCATAGGTCAAGATAAGCAACAGACTTACGACACATCTTGTGAAATGTTTTTCTGCTTGTCTTTTAATTTTTTTCCCCTCTATTCCTTTCATGAATCAGCAGTAAACCTTTTTTTGACTTGATTACCTTATCTAAAACTATAATCACACAATTTACCAACCTGGAACATTGTCTCTTTCTTTACAAAAATCTCTAAGTTGTCATTATCTTTGTCACTGTCTTTCTCTGTCTTTACAGATATCTCCGAGTTTTTGCTCTTTTCGTTGTTGCTTCCTTTTTCTGTGTCAGATTCTCGTGATTTTGGGGTATGGTCATTGCTTTCATCACCTGTTAGTTGTGCTTTCTCTTCATTTTCTTCCATCTTATTGTTTACATCTTCATTTTCAACTGTGATGCCATCTGAAATTCCTTGAGCAGATGATGTGCTATTAGATAAGGGATCTGGTGTGTTAAGTGGTGTAGGTTGAGCTCCGGATTGTGAAATTGTAGAGACTTCAGGTGACTGCAAAGGTTTTGGTTGTTCAGATGAAGAATCAGACTCCTTAGCAGAAATGTCTGCTGTACTTTGTACAGCTGGGCTTTTCTCATCCAATTTATCAGAGGGTGGGAATGCCCATGCTGGCGAGGGCAAGTCCTTCTCTGGCAAAGGGTTGCTATCCTTTGGATCATTGTCATGTAGTTGTACCTCATCAGCATTGTGTAGAGCTGATGTACTGGTCGGGGATGATGGAGGTGTGAAGTCCCAAGGCGGTGGTGTTGGCATATCCCCATCCTCATCAGATACTGAAGGATCCGAAGTAACAATTTTTAAGGGATCCGATGTCTCTGGAGAAGAGGTGTTTGATGTCCTCTTGGGTGAATTAGTCTGTTCTGGTGTAGTTGATACGTCAGATGTAGCTTTTGAAATGCTTTCTGATATTTTTGATGATGGGTCTGATGTAGAAGCCGTGTCACCTGTTTCATCGTTCTGTTTTTCTGGTTCTATATGTTTTACAGACGTTGAACCATCATCATCAGCATCAGAACTACGAGGGATTGAAGCAGACTGCACTTTGTCTGATTTACCGTTTGATGTTGTTTCAGTTGATCTCTCATTGTTGCTGTCTAGTCCTTCCCGTAACCCTTCTTGTTTGACCGGGTCATCATTGCCAACAGTGTCTTTCGAGTCTATATTGTTGACATTTACGTCATCTTCCTCGACAGGAACACGTACTACAAACAAAAAAGACGACGAAGTCATCTTTGTATCAACTCATATGAACTCTTGTATGCATTTTGTGAAACTTGATTCGTGATTATATCTCACAAGGCTACGGATGTCTGGGACGAACCAGGAAACGTGAACTTTTCGTCTGCGAAAGACGCTAGTACTGACGCATTTGTCGTTATCCTCAATGTAGGCCTTTTAAACACCGTCAGTAATATAGACTAGAGGCGCGAATGTTTTGTGGTTTTACGGTGCGTTCGACGCCGTCGACAAATAGAGATAAGTAAACTACCAAGGACGAAGTGTTTATTACCTTCTGACGATATATGTGTAGGTTCGCTATGATTTATACATGAGTGTTGTAATTTGTAGTATCGGCCTGTGTCTAAGGTTTCTGATGTTCTAAAAACACTTTACCAGCGTGGTCACAAATGAGCCAACCCACAAATGTTGAACAATACAAAATTGGACTGGTAAATGACAGAGACAAGATATTAATAAGTGTACTAGACGTTCCTGTTCCCTCTTAGAATACACACAATTTTATATGTTGAATAACTTTCTAATAATTAAAAATAATCATTGGTAATGAGGATGGGTGAGTGTCTCAGTTGAACTTCGGCACGGACAAGGTCTGACTGAGGTTTCCCTTGTCTTTCTCATGAAGCTGAAGTTTTTGTCCTCGTGCAAGACTCTTTACCATCCTAATTGTCTTGGATGGCATGCAACGGTCCTCTCGTATGTTGCTCAGTCAGGTAGACACTAGCCCCTAATGAGATCCCACCTCGAAATAGCATTGGCTGTTCATGGAACGATAAACCTATCAACATAAAACAAAGATTGTATATAAAAGTTTGTGTGATTCTTCAGAGTAATAATTACGAGTGGAAAGTACGTTGTACAGTAGATAAATGTGTTCTTTTTCACATGTTCACTTATTTCAGAAAAAAATTGAGTCACACGTTTTAATTTTTGTTGTTTTACGAAATGAACTTTGTCAGTTTTCCTATTATCCATGATGAAGGACGTATAATCCAGACAACTCTGCCCTGACATTAACGTAATATATAAATGCACGCGAATCCTCGTTTACATGCATGTAACGCGAACATAATTAGACATAAAAATTATGCATCCTTTCTAGACATATGCTAAAAATATGTTCATGAAAAATGTTCATGAAAATGATATGTAATCCATGCTAGCTTTGTAGAGCGCATGCATGACCCCCACCCAACCCACGAGCCATTTCTTTTTTAAAAGTAGCTTGTAAAATATAATATACATACGCAGCATTATTTACCATGTTATCTTATTAACATTTCATCTGTTTATTTATTTAATGGACTTAACGTCCACGATTACGGCCTTTCAGGCAGACGGGCGTTACAAAACATGCATGAAAAATATCTAGGAATAAGTCAAAAGGACGTGTAATTTATTGCTCTTTACTTTCCTGGAGTAAGGAGTATATACACTGTACCAACCAGTTGTTTCAAACCAGTATAGGTAACAAGAAAGTTTTTACCATGAGATTTATAGGACCTCTCGTCGTATGGAGTATAACTTTGTACTACGTTTTCTACCATTATGATTTATTGATACTCGTTTACGATTTTGTTACATCCTTGACTAAAGCATGTGTGTTTTCAGCCTCTATTTTAGTTAATAAACCTGTCTTGTGAGCTACTCATATTAAATTGTATTTGAACTGGTTAAGTTTTTCTGTGTATAGTAGGTTTGATGTGGATATGTGTATGGCCAAGTTACGTTAGAACACGTCAAATACCAGATGTATACCTGTATCGCTGATATGTCGTACAGGTAAACGTTATACTGATACACCGGACATGAAACCGAGGCTCGCTGCAGCAAGTCTTGGTTTGTTCCGACTTGACCCAACCCGACTCCAATACACCGAAGCCAATCGAACTCAATAGATTGATCGGAAATCGGCAATCATCGATAACTTCCGATCCACGGCCATTGATTGATCTCAACACCCAGGTAGACCCGATAGAAAAGCATAGCCGGGCCAGTACGAGGCAGGACATGTTCGGACTGTGTTGAGAGCGGTCGGGACAAGCTTCAGATCCATGGCATTATGCCATATAGGATACTAGCTCGCGCGTTCCGACAAGTCTTACAACATCCGCTAACGCAATGGTACCTTCTAAACACAACCCACACGTTAATGGTTACGGCCAAATTTAAATATCCACATAATAATCTCAATTTTAATTTTCTGTTTAGTCGGAATATCGTGAAAGCATTCTGCTCGGTTATCATAAATGTCTTACAACAGTCATTGGTATGCCGAGGAATTGAAACTACTGGTGAATTAACGAAGAATTTATAGCAGTTTTTCCATTCCAGATGTAATGTATGTAATAAGCATAGACCTATTTTAGGTCTCTATTAAAGATCGGCTAATCCACGACTCGCGGTAAAGGTACAATGAGATTCCTAAACTATATCGACGGAATATAAAAACATTCTTTTGATGGGATTTTTTGTGATTGTATTTAATTTCCACAAAATAGTGTATATATAGTTGATTTTGTTTTGCGTTGGTCTTTCTTTTTTCGCACGAAATGTATTCATAATAGACATTCCTGCTGCAATATGAGTAACATCTCACTCGGACACCAGAACGAGACATGGTTGCATTTTATAACGGTTGATATTTAATTTTTGTTCCGTTAGATGTAATAACATGTACATGTATATAGTTATGGCGACGGTCTCGTTTTGAAACTATTTAGGTCTCTGATATATACATGCTTGTACAAGTTACTGTGAACGAGCGGTATCATTATATAAAGAGCATCTTACAACAGGAACATTTATCATGTTTCCATTACACCTATCCGCTATGGAGCTTGTTCGTTCATCTAAGAAAATAGCAAAAGAAATATGTCTAATTCAGCGCATAACATGCCATTATTTCCGGCCTCTCTAAAGTCTCTCCTGTGATGCTGAAGCATTTGCATGACAAAGAATGCCGAGAAAGACATTATTAAAACAAGGAACACATGTGACACTTCCGTTGTCAGCGTTAGGGCCTACAGCTGCTGAAGTTTTACTACACCAAAGTGTAACTTCAAAATATGTCGTACCTTGATGTAGGTCTCTCAATGTAGGCCTCTCATGGCGATTGCCTATAAATAACAAATGTGATCATCTCACCAGGGGCAATGATTGGTTAATATAGAGGATTGAATACACTAGCTTTGATACTAATGTTAAGTAAAATTCATACATGATAGAGTCAAACATGTTAAGGGAGTTAACTCTTTCGTTCTTGATTAATTTTTAGGGAGAGTGGCCTAGCAGTATTCACTAATTGACCGGATTAGTGGTTCAGAATCAAATGAAATTGGGAACATCCTTTATTATTTCAAAGTCATGGGTTGGGTTGGTATGTACAGTTACCGTTTATTTCATTTTTTTTCAATGAGTTGTGATTATTTTCCTAAATTCCAATCAATGTCCCTCATTTTCTGATATTTATATATATCTAGTAAGTAATATCGTTGGCATGGTCCAATATTGGTACTGGATCCTAACAAACAAATGTTCGTTAGATGCGTATTACTGGAAAAGATATATCATCAATGAAGTAATCACGACAGTACGGACAAGTGAATTGTCCGAAGTTTTTGGAGGCAATCTGTCCCTTCATCAAGACACAAATAAAAAAAATGAAAACAAACCTTATCTTTCTAAATACGTATTAGGCGAGGCAAATGCATACACGAACATAGGAAGCTCTTCTTTTGAGGCAAAACACTAATCAGGGCATGGAACACTTTCTCTTAAGACACTTGCAAGAGAACAGTAACAGACTTTATTTTGGACAAGGCCATATATCTGTTTTCTGTTTCCTCGCCATCCCTAGTTTCTAGCTACCGACCCTAATTTTTCTTAACATTTTGGAAAAAAGATACTATAAATCTCTGTGTTGCGGGGTTGGGGTTGTTTTATATGTCTCACCATGTCTGTCGGTCCATCCGTCCAAAACCTCACAAGTGACGATAAACTCGTACTAGATGGTTTCAGAAGATGCAGGCTAATGAAAATTATGGGAAACTTCAAGTTATGATCGTCGTTGGGATCTAATTGAGAAATACATAAATGCATTCTGTTTATTTGTATACTTGTTAGTTTACCTGTTGGTTCCGTGGTTGTAGACCTTATACTTGTTTGAGACAAGACATTACTTACCGTTGGTCATGATTTCCATGGCGGGTGTCGTCGATGAAGCAGAACACATTTACTCCTCCGGAATACCTTATCATATTATCCTTCATCAGGTGTATCTCTATATTTTTGTTTTGATATTTTGCCCTGGTTTTATTGAATTTGAGTATAATATTTATTTTTATACATACCTGACTCAATCCTTGATCAATATGCGGTACTTTAGAGGTCATGTTCAAAAGCAAGATATAATAGAATTTAACCACTGACCCATTTTTCATGCAGAAACTTGAAACATGCATATTTTTCTTTCAGTTTCCGCCTCTCTTTTTTCGCCAGATAGATAAAGCTTCATCTCTCAGTTCAAATGATAATGATAAAGCATTATTTGTTTATATACCGTTGTAAAGACATACACAACAGCCATATATACGATCATCTATAATAGAATATTTTAAACTTTAAAGAAATGTTCTTGTCCCTATAACAGAAATTAAAAGCTAAAGTACCCTCCCGCAATGTCTCTTACAAGGGAGGTAAATCTTTCAGTGCTGTGATTTTACTTACGAGATCAATTTTCGGCGTTTAGTCCTAACGCGCACCTTGTTACCAGCCTCGGTGTGATTTAGCGTAATCACGTGACTAACAATGAGAACAGCATTAACGAGTTGTCTGTAAGACGTACACATGCTATTCTTGGATTATGGATCTAAATTTTAGTTAAACTTGGATTTTTCTGAACGTCATGCAACCAAGGTTTGTATTTATGTTTATTATATAATCTCAATTTCGGATTTTGATTAAATTTATCATTGTCATCATATTTAGAACAAATTCCAAGAGAGAATGAAAACATTCAAACTTTTGTCTGACTCGGATATTATACACAGCGGCAAAAAGTTTGGTGACATGTGTTGCACGTACACTCACTACACTTTACAATCGTTTGAAGA